CAAAACCCTATTCTAATTATTGCCCCTACATTAGTGTACATGAGCATGTTCCCCCAACAAGGAGCTTAAGAGTTAGCGGTTGGCAGACAGGAACCCAACAAGTTTTAAGTTGGAAAGTTATACATCGCAAAAACTTGGTCAGTACCTTGCATTCTAGATATAGTCTGCTCTTAGGGCATATAGAATTGTATACAAAGCTTGTTGTGTTACTGCAGTCGGGATCAACGTATGGGTTGCTCACGGATGGTACAAGCAGTTTGGCGAACAATGTTGGTGATTATTCAAGCTCCTATATTCGGCTCATCCCTACCCTGATGAGTAAGTCTGTGTCACAAGTGTACGGTACCTGCAGTGGAAGTTCAGATAGGATTGGATGAGACGGATGAGAAGAGCCATAGCAGGAGGGACGTGCAACAAACTCCCACTCTTAGCAGGCTCACCAGCCCCACATCGCCACAGCCGCCGCCACCGCCACTGCCACCACTATCGCCTCTGTGTGCTGCCGTCACCACAGCGGAAAGCAAACATGAGCAGCAGCTGCTGCCCCACCACCAGCCAGAATAGCATCTGTAGCAACAGAGCCAACAGCAACAGCAGTAACAACAGAAATAATTCGGAAGAATAGTAACATGGGTGATGCCAGCAGCGCTAGCAATACGCCCTACTACTGCGTATAGGGGCCTCACTACGACTCTTACTATTCTCTGTGGATTCCTTTTTAGTTTCCATATCTAGTCACTATGGGATATCGAGGTAGGCTGACCCATGTAGCAGGCGATGCAACAGGGAGACGTCTTCGTTCCCAGCGACCATAAGGAACCGCTTCAAGGGCTCTTTCCTTGAGGGCTTTGCGGCTTCAGGGATGTTTGTTAGGAGCCCCAAAAGGACATAAGCATAAGCATGTTATAGGGATATCCCTACCTTATTGGGCCTCATTATAAGGGGATTTATATGGGATATCCCTATCATAATTTTTGCTTATGTGCTTTTTGGGGTGCCCTAGTTTGGGGCTTTTGGTTTGCAGGTTTTCCCAGCTTTCGGGAGGCTTGTTGGTCTGGGGCTTTTGGGGCTTTCGTGCCTGTAGGGCTTGGGCAAGAGGCTTTCCGGGCTCAATGGCTGTAGGGTTTCGGGGCTGTGAGGTTTCCAGGGTTTTGGGGTCGGTTATTCACAAGATCTCGGGTAGGTGCATGTAGGGTTATATTCCAGCAAAAGTAGCTAGAGCTGTAAATTCCGATAGGCCCAGGGCAGATATCGCTAACCATTCTACCGATACTCCTGACTCCTGAATGCTCAAACAAGGCCCCTAAACCCCAGACCCCCTAAACGCTAAACCCTAATCCCTAAAAGCCCTAAAATTTTAAACCCTAAACCCCTAAAACCCCTAAAAACCCTAAAAACCCTAAAAACCCTAAAAACCCTAAAAACCCTAAAACCCCTAAAATCCCTAAAATCCCTAAAAACCCTAAACCCTAAAAACCCTAAACCCTAAACCCTAAAACAATCTATAACCTGGGCCTGAAGACCATAGCCCCCACACCCGATGAACCATTATTTTTTCGTTTAGGGGTTTAGAGGTTTAGGGTTTAGGGTTTTAGGGTTTAGGGTACAGCTGGCCTCCATACACCCCAAACCCCAAATCGCAGAGCACTCTCAACCCTAAACACCCTCCATCCCTGGACCCTAATTTCTCCTAAATCCTTGTCGTTATTTTCGAAACCCTGCATCTTAAAGATGGTTCAGGGCTTTAGGGTTCACGGGTTCGGGTTGGATGGGCTTGGATGGGTGTGGGGTTGATAGGGCTTCACCCTCCACTTACCCGCGAAGGAGAATCGGCAAGTGGCGAATCTTTTCCTGCCATTGCGCCGGTCTCCGGCAGTGTCGAAACCACGAAGACGAAGGTGGCAGCAGTTTCAACATAGAAGCTTGAAAAGGCCGCTGATACTAAGGTTTGGGGTTTAGGGTCTAGGGTTTATAGTGTTTCTTATTGTTTATGGTAAATTCTAATTTTGCCGCCGAACCCTTATTCTAATTTGCTGAGACCCTAAACCCTAAATCCTATTGAGACCCCGTAGATGGTATGGGGGGTTTGTCAAAGGCTCTCAGGCCCGTGCAGGGCTCTATGGAGATCTCAGGAGGCATGCGGGGCCTTTGGGGTGGAAATCCCAATGCCAACAAGGTATCGGGAATTAGGGTTCAGGGGTTTCGGCTTTCTTGTTTTGAGCTATAGGGCTTTGGTTTTAGGGTTTTTGTAACAAAGCCTACGATTTTGAATTTCATGCGGGCCCCTGGCTACAGAAGGCTGTAACGTAGGAACCTGCTCCGGCGTTGCGCAGGGAGCCCTTCGCTGCCTAATCAGAAGGAGCATGCCCGGAGTTATATGGGTAGTTTTCCAAAATAGGGTCCCTTTTAGAGTTTAGGGTTTAGGGTTTAGGGAGTTATATGGGCTACTAAATAGGGTCCCTTGCCGTACTATATTGGGGACCTGAAAAGGAACCCTAATTTAGAGAACTACCCATATATCGAGGGATTCTGACATGCAGGATCACATGTGATTTACTGTGAATTCCCTACCTCAGGAGTACACTCGCGGCGGACCATATTTTGTTCCTGTTTGTCATATTTATTTAGGTAAATTAAATGATGTTTTAGGTACATTCCCGTTTAGGGGGTGCGCGTGAACTCCTTGGTGTTTGTTTGTCCGGATCCCACCCTAAAACCTCAAACCTAAACCCCAAACCCTCAAACCTCAACCCTGAACCCCAAACCCTAAAACCTCAACCCTAAACCCCAAACCCTCAAACCTCAACCCTGAACCCCAAACCCTAAAACCTCAACCCTAAACCCCAAAGCCTTAAACCTCAACCCAAAACCCCAAACCCTATAAAGCCTCAACCCTAACCCCTGAACCCTAACACCCCCAAAACCTAAACCCCAAACCCTAAACCCTAAACCCCAAACCCTATAAAGCCTCAACCCTAACCCCTGAACCCTAACACCCCCAAAACCTAAACCCTAAACCCCAAACCCTAAACCCTAAACCCCAAACCCTATAAAGCCTCAACCCTAACCCCTGAACCCCTAAAGCCCCTAAAACCCCCAA